GAGAGGAAGAAGCAGATTCCCTGTTGAGCAGGGAGCCCAATGCAGGGCTTGATCCCAGGCCCCCTGGGATCATAACGTGAGCTGAAGGCAGATGCTTAAACCAACTGAGCCGCCCAGGTGCCCCATCTATGATCATTTTTTTTTCTATGATCATTTTTAAGACAAAATTCCACTCATCAGATAGACTCTTTTTAAGTGTACACAGAGGTATGTTCAATGATGTTCTTGAAGCAAGGTTTCTGGAAGTAAAAATAGAAAACAACTGGAATATGCAGTCATTAAATAGGAGGTGGAGTCACTCATACTGGATACCCTTGATAACCTAGAGGTAGCTGAAAGAGATCATTAAAGGCAAAGACAGGAAGGTTCAGAATGGTGTATACAGCATGATTTTTGGGTGAAAAAAAAATACCAGGAAGAGAAAAGATCTGGTCATATATTTTTTTAAGTCAACAGTCCATAGCTTCTGGAGAGTAGGGTGGGGATTGTTGGGGGCACAGGAAGAAGGAAGGTGGTTTCTTTTTCACTGTGCATTTCTGGTTTTTTTTTTTTTTTCTTTTTTTAAACATGAGGGTGTGTTACTTTTGTAATTTAAAGAAGTTACTGGTATTGGAGAAGTACTTACATCTTCAAACTCTTGAAGCCAATCAGACAAAACAAAGTATATTCCCTGCACTCCAAAGAAAACTGGGCAGAAAACCCAGAAAGGAGCTCACAAAAATGGTCAACAAGTAAATGAAATGTCTACCCACAGTAGCACTAAATTCTCCCTCCTCCCTGGAGCTCTAGTGCACCTTTCTCTCTAGCAAGGCACCAGCTGAATGTTTACCCTCCTAAAGATAATGCAGTTCATATGTCAGCACAAGGCCCTTCCCCTTCCTTCTGCACACTGGTAGCATATCCCATATGGGATGTCACCATGCTTTTTATTCAACACTTTATCTTGAGGTGCTCAGTGGCTGCAGTGCACCACTCTGTGGATGCACCCTAATTTATGTAACTTCAGTGCTATGATGGACATTGAGGCTGTTTCCCTGCTTTTGCTGCTACAAACAATGGTACAGATCCTTGCACATGACCACTGTGTACCTGGTATACAGGCTGGGCACATCCTTAGTTCTGACTACTGGATCAAAGTAGAAATTATAAAATCTCCCCACAAAGTTTTACATCTATTAAACAAAACTCAACTCCCCACACCTTAATGAACCATACTGAACCTTCTTCATTTTTGCCAATTTGATAAAAGTGGTCTCCTGCTATAAAATTTCTGGTAGTAAATACCAAAAGGCTTAGACTTGCGCATCTCCTTGGATCAGAAATTCCCCTTCTAGGAGTCTACCCTAGGAAAGAATAAGGGATAGTGGGCAAGATGTTCACTGCAGCCAGTTTGGTGGAACAATGCCAAAATGTACCTCATACTGTGCTTGAATTTTCACTTCTTTTCTGCACATGAAAACATACCACCACCCCTTGGCCCTAACTTTTAATGGCTTTCAACCACCACTAATGGTTGGCATGTCTCTCCTTCATTAACTTTAAAAATAAAACCAGCAGTTGGTTTACCAGCAACAAATATGTTTATTTGGGAGTAGTAGAGAACTACAATCCAAGACAAGCATGGTAAGGCAAAACCATAGGCAAGTCCAGAGAACAAAAGAGAGGAATGCTCTTTTATGGAGGAAAGTGAGAAGCTGGGAGGGCTGTTATAAACAAAAAGTCCATTAGAGTAAACTGGGAGTTCAAAGGATAGTTGCTTTTCATTGGCTGAGTTGTGACTGTCTCTCATTGGCTGGGCTGTTGCCAGAGAAGCAGAAAACCTTTCTTCTGCTGGAATACCAAACAGCTAACCCACAGCAGGGACTTAGAAGGTTTCCTTCTATTTGGGTCTGCAATTAAGGAGTTTAAGGAGTGGTAGGGCATGAGATAGCTCCCTGCTGGCTTTCCAACTTTGTTGTAAAGGAGGCTCCCTTTTATTTTCACACCTCAGCCTTTTTACTGAGATTTTTAACAATTTAAAAATATGAAAAATGCTTTAACAACAATACACATTTGTAATTATTTTCCTTTTAATCCTCTGTGAAAAACTTAAAACATCAAAGTAGAAAGAATATTATAACAAACTCTGCATCATCTAAACGTGACAATTAGTATTTTGCTTCAGCTTTTTCTCCCTGCTGAAGCATTTTCAAGCAAGTATCAGGCTGATATTCCACCCCTAAATACTTCACTATGTCTAAAAACTTAGAACATTTTCTAAGTTTTTAGATTTATTTTTTTAAAGGTTTATTTATTTATTTATATATTTGAGAGGGAGATTGAGAGAGACTGAGCTCATGAGAAGTGAGAGGTCAGAGTGAGAAGCAGATCCCCACTAAGCAGGGAAGGCTGATTGGGACTCCATCCAGGGACTCCAGGATCATGACCTGAGCGGAAGGCAGTTGCTTAACCAACTGAGCCACCCAGGCGCCCCATGACTTTTATTTTGAAATGTCATATTTATATAAAAGTTGCAAAAACAGGGCAATCTATGCCCTCATGCCCTTAACTTGAATTCCCCACGTTAATATTTCTGAATATTGAGAAGAATACTAGAACATGAAAATCAGTTGCAGACATGACAAAGGAAAACCTGGTCACAAAGGCCCTCTACTATCTCTGGGCCACTGCTCTCTGGCCAGAGGAGATACTCAAATGGTAAGCACCAAAGCCCACGCCCACTTCTGTCTTCTCCTTTGTCCTTCACATTTCAAAACTATATAAGAACTGATTTCTTCCTTAAAAAGTCAAATAAAAGATGCATAAATATCCCTTTAAGCCGTATACCATGCCTCAAATCCAAGGCTCCCTGTGAGTCCTCAGAATATTATCTGTGCAATACACAAGGCACTACAGTGGACATTTCCCACAACTTACTTATTTCTTGTTTTAATTACTGTTATTTTATTGGCTCACTTTCCAAACTCCCCTGCTCAAATACCCAAAGCTGTACCTAAGCTGTTTGCAGCAGCATCACAGTGACCACTTCTGACCCTAGGATGGTGACTCAAGAAGTAGAACTTTCAAATGCTTAGAAACTCTACCAGACTGCCATCTGAAAAGCCTTTACCCACAGGTTCTTCCACCAGCACAGTGTGAAGGGTCGTTTCACAGTATCACTTGACAGTAGTTATCACTCACATCCAGTGGCTTAACACAGCTGATGAGCAAAACGTGGACCCAATTGTCTTTCATAAATCCCTCCACTACTGGTGAGCCCAAGTGCGCTGGCTTCTCAGAGGCCTCTTTAGCAGTGGAAGCCACAATAAAGTGAATAATAAATAGTTTGCCTCTTATTTTCTACCTATCCCTAAGAGCTGGCCCCTAGCACAAAGGCCTGCTGAGACTTCTGTGCTGTTAAAAAAATAAAATGCCAGTGACTAAGAGCCTGCTCTAGGCTTGGTGAAACAGTGAATGCAGCCCCAGGCCTCATGGTGCTTACCTAGGAGGATATTCAGAGTTAGCAGAGGAGCATCAGCCTCATGCCTATGATGTCTGCAAGAGGTACAGGGGGATACAGTAAACAGGAAGGGCAGGAGGCCCACAGCTCCTGAAGGTGAGAAATGAGGACATGTAGTTGGATGAATGTTGGCTCCAAAAGATATGTCCACAGCTTAATCCCTGGAGCCCATGATCTTATTTGGGGGAAAAAAAAGTCTTTGCAGATGTGATTAAGTTCAGAATCTTTAAATGAAGAGGTCATCCTCGATTTTCTTTCTTTTTTTTTTCCTTTTTTAAAGATTTTATTTATTTACTCGACAGACAGAGATCACAAGTAGGCAGAGAGGCAGGCAGAGAGAGAGGAGGAAGCAGGCTCCCTGCTCAGCAGAGAGCCTGATGCGGGGCTTGATCCCAGGATCCTGAGATCATGACCTGAGCCAAAGGCAGAGGCTTTAACCCACTGAGCCACCCAGGTGCCCCCATCCTTGATTTTCTGATGTGCTACAAATCTAATGAGAAGTGTCCTTATCAGACACACAGTGGAAACTTGACAGTAGAGGAAGACCATGTGAAAACAAAGACTGAAACCACAATGCAACTACATGCCAAAGAACGCTAAGGATTGTCAATAGCTACCAGAAGCTGGAAGAGGCAAGTAATGGAGGAGGGGTTGGGAGTGACCTGACTTCTGGCCTCCAGAATTATGAGAGAATAATTCTGCTGTTTTAAGACAGCCAGTTCATGGCAATTTTGGTAGTCCAGAAAACTAATAAAAACATCATACTACTTCTACTTTGTATGTATTTTGGAATTTCTGTAACTTGCATGAAAATTTTAGTGGCATATCCTTCATTTGTGAGCTGAGGTTATGGCAAGGGGAGAGAGGCTCTGGAAGGTCCTGGATTTACATGAGTGGGGCTAGAAGTCACAGACATCCCATGAAACCTATTGCCTGTTCTCCCTCAAGACTCCTCTCACTAGGCCACTGTTGCTCCAGGAATGCTTATGAGTACATCCACCTCAGGGTCTTTGCGTGGATCATCCAGGTGATCCCTGCTGCTTCATGCCATACTGTAGCTCTCGGGGCATCTGCAGAGGTCTCCACCACTTTCCATCCCCCTGCCTGACTTGTTTTCTTACAGACTTGCCCCAAGTGGTGTGATGGCTTTCTTTCTTAATGTCATACTCCCCTCCACATCAACTTGGGGGCATGCTGTAGGCTCCTGACACGTGTTCTCAGTAAAACCAGGGTCCTTAGGTACACATCAGTCCCAGTCTGAGATGGGCTCTCACAGGGCCCCTGACTCCCAAGTGACACTACCACCAAATCTCCCAAATCTTTCCTATGGTTAAGGAGCAAGCCAGCAGGTTGGACCTGCCTTGTCCTAGATACAACGTCATGAGCAGACCTGAGAATGTCCCTGAGCTGTCAGCTCCCCACCTAAGAAGACCCAGTAGAAACTGTCCCTCACATGCAGCCCGACGGTGGGTTTGTCCTGACCAAACAGAAGCAAATGGGGTGGTGTGGCACACGGACTTTATTCTGACCCCTCCCCAAGTCCTGGGTCCAGGTCCACGTCCTGACCAGCAAGTGGGTTCACTCAGCACTCAGAAAGACCCTCTTGCGTGCGGTGTTGGTGTATGGGTGCCAGCGCCACTCCACATCTGCTGTGGCCTCCTGTTCCAGCGTGCCCAGGCGGATCATGTACACTGGGAGGTGTAGATGGGTACATTGTCACCTACACCACCAGTACCCCACCACCATGAGAAGTGGAATTAAGCCCCAAACTCACACTTCAGTTCAAAGCGAGGTCCAACCTCTGTCAGCTCCACACTGCGGTGGTTGGTCTTCCTATATACGTGGTGCCTGGAGGCAAGGGGAGACAGGGTAGGGGTGAGAGAAGACAGTGAGCAGATGTGAGCCAATAACAAACAGCAGTGGAACACAAAGGTCAGGACGCCATTCTGAGGCCAGCCCATGGACCTACCGGAAGGAGATATAGTCATCTTGGTTTGCGAAAGTGATGACACGGTGGCTATCATCCTTGGGCACAGGGAACAGGTAACGGAGTATGTCAGAGACCTGGGTCAGAGGGAAGGCGAGTGCAAATGCCCAGCCTGGAACTCCCTGCCCCCAGCCCTCACCCCATGGACCCAGACTCACCCGCTTGCCTAGTCGGGAGGAGAAGCCATGCATGATGAGGTGAGGCTTGGCCTCGGACACGGTGCCCAGGTCAGGAATGTCATGGCGCATGACCACATTGCACAGTGTGAAGTAAGCAGTGGGGCCGAAGGGCAGGTGGCTGACAATGAGCCCCACTGGTGGGGCCAGGCGGGCTGTCAGAAACCTTATCTGCTCTCAGACAACCACCCCAGCAGACACCCTGTTCCCACCACAGTCTCACCAGGTGTGCCTCGATGCTCATGGACAACCAGCAGGTCAGTGACACCATTGGCTTTGCAGGCTCGCACCAGTGCCCCTACCTCATGCCGGCCACGGTTCATGCGTTGGGCGCCTGGGAATACCAACTTCAGCTCCTTGTATGTGAACGCATTTCAATTAGGACTGGGGCCACTAGTGCCTTAGGACCTCCCATTCGCTTCCCACTACTGGTACCTTTGCAAACATCTTGAGGCGGGAACTGGGGTCTCGGGAGGTAGTGATCATGACCTTAGGATCTTCAACCCCTGCCCATCGATATTCATCATCCACATGGTTGGTCACACCTGGTCACAGCATGAGGGGAAAGAATGTGTTTGTCTTGGGAAATAAAATGCTAACTTGAGGGTGGCTCAATCTGTCTAGAGCAGCACTGTCTGACAACACCTTTGATGATGAAAATAAAATGTTCCACACCTGCACTGAGCAGGAGGGTAGCCCTCCAGCCACACTGGTTATAAAAACAACTATGACTGAGGAACTAAATGTTTAAATTTGATTTAATTTTACTTCATTTTAACTACATTTATCACACGGGGTTAATGACTACCAAGTACAAACCCAGATTCTGTTAAGACCAAAGGTAACTGACTCCTTTTCCTCATAACAAAAATTCATAATGTCTGTTTAGGTGTTAATGAAGTGCTGGGAGCTGGGGACATGGCAGTAAACAAAACGCATACTGTCTTGCCTCAGCAGTTCATATTCTGATAAAGGGGATAATTAACAGACAAAACAGAGTAAGTGGGATAACCCTGTATGTGCTAAATAAACGAAATTGGGAGCACTAAGAAAGAGCTCTCCTAAAGTGCCATCTGTGCAAGGTCAGAAGGGCATCTGGGAGACAGTTTCGCAAGGAGGAGCTACATAGCCTTTCCTTCAAGCTGTCCATGGAATGACATGGAAACCAGCAGGCTCAAGTGCAGGGGAAGAAGCTGGCCCAGTGTCAGGGAAGTTTACCTTCACCGCCGGCATCATCAAACTCCAAGGAACCCTGTAAGGCCAGAGCCTCCCTGCGTAATTCGGTGGGAATCAGGCGGTTCTCTGCAGGGGGAACACAGAGCAGCTGAGTAAGACACATGCATGGAGCCCTCAGTTTATACAACACTGTGGCTTACAAAAACTGTACAGACTTGATTAAAAAGTAGCCCTTTCACTCCTTTCTGTGCAAATGTATACATGACTTCTTTGGCAGGGGGAAGAGGGAGACAAAACTATTTTTGTCTACGTGCCAAGCTGTTAACAATGGTTACAGGAGATTTCATTTTCTATGGTTTCTAGTTTCATGGTTTGAGGGCTTTCTAAAATATTTCATTGCAAGTATATACTGTTTTTGTACTTAGAAAAAAATTAACACCTGATTTTTAAAAGAACAAATAAAGAGTGTTCTTTCTATATGAATGTGGACCAGAAACCCTGAAAACCCTGAAACCCTCTGACAACAAAAGTGCTAAACTTTATGCTTTGGGTCAGATTTCCTCTGTGAACTAAAGCTAGACTTGGTTTAAAAAAAAAAAAAAAAAAAAGGCTGGGCTGTTGGCATGCCCACTTTGGAGTACAGAGCTCAATATGAACATGCCCTTGGAACCAGCATGTCTTTCCAATATGCCCTGGAGAAATTCTTGCACATGGAAGAGAAAGTTCATAGCAGCAATGCTGTTCCTAACTGCGCCAGACTAAAAAAATAAGGTCAACACCAAGCACAGGGAAATGGGAGCCCCCATTACACTCAATAGATCTTAGAAAACATAAAGCTGGGAAAGAATACATACAACCTAATAACTACGTTTAAAACTAAAAATCAACCCATGTGATTTAAGGATACAAACAAGTATGACATAAGCATAAATAAGAGTAAGGAAATGGCTTATTTTTAAACAGTATCCTGTATTGTGGCTATCTGAGTTGGGGGAAAATATTCCTGAATTTCAATAATTTGAGTATTTTTTATTTCTAATGTGGGCAGACAGATCACAGATATTTAACATAACGCTTAATGTAAACATATAGACTCATGCACTTTATATGTCTAAAACACAGAAAATCAAAGTGAATTTAAAATAATCAGAGAGGGGGCCTGGGTGGCTCAGTTGGTTAAGCGACTGCCTTTGGCTGAGGTCATGATCCTAGAGTCCCCAGATTGAGTCCCGAATTGAGACCCACATTGAGACCCACATTGGGCTCCCTGCTCAGCAGGGGGTCGTTCTGCTTCTCCCCCAGACCTCTCTTCTCTCATGCTCTCCCTCATTCTCTCCCTCTCAAATAAATAAATAAAATCTTTAAAAAAAAATAATCATAGATAGTAAGCTGATGTACCATCCAGACAGGAAAGTTCTACTCACACAGGAACCAAGAAAATAGGGATAAGTATAACATTTTCATTCAAACAAGTTAACACTCTTCATTCGTATGACAAACAAAAAGCGGAGAAAATACTGCAAAGTTAGATCCCAATTCACAACTCGAATAAAAATAAATTCTCTACGGTTTATCACTTTTTAAATGCGACGTAATCATAGTAACAACTAAAAGATATTCTTGTCATCTTGTACTGAAGAAGGTAGCAAAAAGAAAAACAACGGGGGGAGGCGCGGGAGGACAATGTAAAAATTTAAAATTTGGGAAAAACTAAACACACTGTAAACAAAATTAATAGGCAAACTGTAAAATCTGGATACTGCAGCATATATGACAAGATATGAAATTTATAGCATCACGGAAAGAATTTATAAACCCAAAAGGCAAGAAAACGGCCAATAAATACTTGAAAGGATGCTCAGCCATACAAATACTAAGAGATGCTAATTAAACGCGTTTTATACCATTTGGTCTTTTATTCCGCTGGATTTTAAAATGCAAACCAATGGTCTCTATAACGACAGGTTTAGAGCACTCCCCCGTCCCCGAGTGGGGGCGGAGAAGTGCCTACCTTCCAGGGCGCGCCGAACCTTCTCCTTCCGGTCCTGGGCAGCTTGCTGCGACTCCTCTCGGGCCTTGCGGTACAGGTACTCCCGGCGAAGGCGGGCCTCACGACGCAACTACGGAAAAAGCTGGTTAGTTCAGCCTCCTCGCCACACACAGCCGGGCCCGGGGGCCACTAGCCCCACCAGCCCCAAGCCCTGCGCGAGCCCCCAATATAAAAAACAGGAGCTCAAACCTCCCTCCTACCATTCTGAGCGCGGATTCCACGTGGGTCTAGGAGAACGCCGGGCGCAGCGTCAGCAACGTCACCCAAGATTCTGCCCTCAATCAAGAAGGTCGCTAGAGGCTTTGCTGCACTCTATTACTGTGGGGAGTGCCAAATGTTAAGATGGCGGAGGGTGGGTTAGGAGTTGCAAGGCGATTGGCCAATCTGGAGACGCCAGCTTACTGGAACACCAATAGACGGGCGTCAAAACGTTGTCACGTTGGTAAGGCTCGCCCTTACTAAAGATGTTAGTGCATGGCTTCATTACTTACCACTGTGCAGGATGCCCAATTTTAAGATGATGAACCGCTAGAGTAATCATAATTGGCGATTCAGAATGATGCAGCAACTGTAAAAGCAGCACAGCGGCTGACTGGAGGCTCGCCTTCCGGCTGCTGGAATTAAAGCCTCTTCTCCCTTAAAATAGCTGCCATACAGCTATGCCTCTTCCATCACCACAGCTATCGCCCTACTGTTTGTTAAAAAGCGGCCTCTTACCGCTTCTCGGCCTTTTGGCTAAGATCAAGTGTAAAATGCGGCCTCTTCCCAAAGCTACTCGGAACCAACCACAGCTCTAGCCGACTGTTTCGTAGGCTCACATGCCTCGGAAAACCCAGCTAATCAATTCTGCAGCGCGGCTCTAAGCGTTTGCCTTTCGAAAGGTTGGGCAACCCGGCCCACGGCTGGGAACGCCCGTTGAAGGTGAGCCTATTGGTTGTCACGCCGGCATGGCGAGCGACGATTGGGCAACCTGTGAGGAGGCTGGTTCCAGACCTCAGTACGGTGGGACCATGGCTGCGCAGGGCTTACGCGCGCAAGTGGACTCTCTCCTTCTGCAACTGCTCCGGGACCTGGAAGAACTGGAGGCGAAGCGGGCAGCACTGAACGCCCGGGTGGAAGAGGTGGGATCTTGCGGAGGGAGGGCTGGGAGGGCATGCGGGGGTAAACTGAGTTTAACCGCTCTCCTCTTATCCCAGGGCTGGTTCTCACTCTCCAAAGCTCGCTATGCCATGGGTGCCAAGTCTGTAGGTCCTCTGCAGTATGCCTCCCGCATGGAGCCTCAGGTCTGCGTCTACACCAGGTGAGGAGGTGTGTATGTTGGAACGGGTGGGCGGACAGGGTCCAGGCTGGGGCCTCCAAATGTCGATCCTGCCTTCTCGTTCTTCAGCGAGGCCCAGGACGGGCTCCAGAAGGTCTGGGTGGTGAGAGCCAGCGCCCAGACTCCGGAAGAGGTGGGGCCCCGTGAGGCAGGTGAGTTCCCCTTTCTTCGCGTCAGGGCTCCCTCCCGATGTCAAAAACAAAATGTACAGGATAATTGAAGAGATTATTTTATTAAGGGTGTTGCGATGGAGAGTGGCCCAGATCGGAGGATCACAGTGTCTCAGCAGGCTGGTTTTTTTTGTTGTTGTTTTGTTTTGTTTTGTTTTGCTTTGCTTTAGACTTCTATAGGGAGAAATAGATAAGTTATAGGTGAAGTCCTTTACGGTTGGAATAGTTTTACAATAGGGGGACGTTTCAGTCAGCTGAACAAAAAATGTTTATATGTCTAACTGGTTTCAGAGGGACAAACTTCTAATCTCAGTCATTTATGAGACAAACGGGGAGTTGGAGGGTCTGTCTGGCCTTTCAGCATGTTCAGGCAAAATGGGAAAAGTCAGTGTGTGGCTCTGTCACAGGTAAACAAGGGGGTCATTTGCTGATCTTATGAGAGTCATGAGAAAGAGTGGTCAGGGCATCTCATCTGAATCACAAACAGAAAGGTTGTTCTTTGTGGTAAGCTGTTTTCTGGAACATAAATGGTTGGAGGGATTTTACAGCCTTCAATGTTTGTCAGGATCATGAGCTTAGATCAAGTTCAACATTATCACAGAGAAGACAAGGGACAGGTAATGAGACCCCCAACCTCCAGTCTGTCTTTCTCCAGCTTTGCGCAGGCGCAAGGGTCTCTCCAGAACCCCAGAGCCAGAGTCCTCCCCAGCCCCCCGGGACCCTCTGAACTGGTTTGGAATCCTGGTTCCACACAGTCTGCGTCATGCCCAAGCCAGCTTCCGGGAAGGTGAGTAGACCCTCTATCTATAGGAAGAAGTAGTAGTAATGACATGCCTGGCTGGGGTTAATCTGCAAAGGGTTTTCCAGGGTTTTTTCCATAGCAGGCTTTTGTTGCACACATGCTGTTTTTTCAAAAAAGGATTTACTGGCTGTTGGCAGTGTTCCAGGCTCATGTTAGGGGCTGGAGATACAGCAGGAAACAAAAGAGATAAATACCCCTCATGGAATGTATATTCCATTGAGGGGAGAATGAAAACATGCAAATAAATAAGTAGGCCCTATATATAATACGGGGTAGTGAGAATTGTTATGGAAAAATAAGATAGGGTATGGTGGATGGAGTGGGACAGGAGTGGGTGAGGGTAGTAATTTTATGAAGGGTGATCTGAAAAGTCCTCTCTGAAAAGATGGAAAGAACTTTGTAGTTGATCTGTGCTATAGGCAGAGGGGCCAGCCAGGGCAAAAGCTTTGAGGTGAAATCATGTTTAGTTGGGCAGAGAGAAGCCCAAATGGGTTAGAGTGGAGTTTATGAAGCAGGGAGTACCAGGAACTGAGGTCAGAGGGGACTGGGCCCAGGTTATTTGAGGTATAGGCCCTGATGAGGACTTTGGGAGTCACGGGTGGCTCTGAAGAGAGTGAGGCAGAGTTGGATCCACAGAGTGATAGGAAGACTCTGGGTGCTGGGTGGGAACAGACAAGAGCAGAGGGAGGAAGCAGATATCGGGGAGCAGCCAGGATTGAGATGTAGGTGGAGGCAGTGAAGGAGAATGTAAGTGACAGGAATCTGCATGTTTTGAGAGTAGAAGCCACAAGATTGACTGACAGATCAATTTGAGAGAAAGGGAAGGAGAGGAATGAAGGATGAACCCACAGATTCCAGCAGGAATACCTGGGAGAATGAAGCTGCCCTCACCTGGTGTGGGAGAGCAGCAGCCAAGGGTAAGTCAAGAGTTGAGTGAGAGTGTGTTCCTACTACTGTGTGGTGGAGACTCTGCTCAGGTGTCTGGGCACATGCATCTGAGTTTGGAAGAGACCTGGGCTGGAAAGAGAGATTTGGGAGCCCCCTGCATACCACTGGTGTTTAAATTCCCAAGTTGCTGACACAGACACAGCATTTAAGCTGAGATCAGCAGAGGGCCCCAGAGTGTGGACAGAAGGTGGGAAGAGGAAGGAGAGAAACCACTTTCGAAGAGACTGAGAAGTAGCAGTGAGGCAGGAACAACAACCAGAGGGTGAGAGATCCCAGAAACCAAGAGGAGAAAGTGCTTCCTGGAGGGAACTGAGCAGATGTGTGGCCAGCTCTGCTGTCAGGCAGGTAGGCTGAAAACTGGACTGGTGAGTGGCCTGGGCATGGAGGGCCCAGAAGACTGTTAAGCAGAAGCATCAGGCAAAAGCCACCTAGATGTGGATCCAGAATGTGGAACACTTTGGGGGGCAGGGTAAACAGAGGGCAAGAATAGTGAAGGACTATTATAATGAAGGAAAAAAAGGAAGGAAATGAGGGCATACAACAGTGTTATGATCTGTGAATTTTTATTCCCCGGTGGGTAATGTAAGGGAGTAAAGAAAGTCTGTTGAAGAGGTGACATTTTAGTAAAGATGTGAAGGAGGTGAGGGTGTGGGTCTAATGAGATTCTGAAGCAGCCAGTGCAAGGCTCTTCTGGGAATGTTTTAGAAATAGTATGGAAGCTAGAAAATTCTGGAGCCTTTCCAGTCCCTGGGATGTTCAGAGGCCCCTGAGTCGTATCACATAGTGGATACCATGGTGACAATCTTGTCTCTTCCTCTAGGCCTGCAGCTGGCTGCAGACATGGCCAGCCTTCAGATCCGCATTGACTGGGGTCAAAGCCAACTCCGGGGGCTCCAGGAAAAACTCAAGCAGCTAGAGCCCGAATCTACCTGACTTGTGACCAGAGGCTGGACAGTGAGCACAGCTGTTCTTTGGTGTAGCTACCTTATCTCAGGCCTTCTTCCTTCACAGATTGCCACTGCCCCAACTAATCCCTGTTCCTTAAAATTTCTCTGGTTTGCATGTTTCTAGCTTTGTTAGGTGTGAAAGTTTGAAGAGCCTCATGGATATATCAGCTGTGGTTTCTTTACAGGATAAAATACTGCACAGTTAGTGGCAGGGAAGGACAACAAATAGGTGCTTCAGTTGCACTAGATTCTGAAAACTGATTTTGGTGTAGGAAAAAAAGACAAACATGGCTAACAAATTAAGACAGTATGATTCCATGTCAATAAAAAACGTGAACACCTAAGTAGGTAGGTAGTCCTTGGCAGGTTTTAAGCCAGAAAGTCTAAAAGATCTGACTTAGATTTTCAAGGGAACTCAAGGAACTCTTCATTTATTTTTATAGGAGTGAGACCATGCTACTTTTAATTTTTGAAGGGCCAAATGTATTTCCTGTGATGGGATCTGTGTCCTTGCTTCATTATCCTACTGGGTTGTTTTTTTAAAAGTTTGCTTGGGGAAAATTAATCCTTTGTTCATAATATGAAATGTAAATATTTTTCCCAATTTCTCTTGTAACTTTATGTTTTTTTTAAACTTCATTTTAAAATAAAATGCATTAACCTGCACAAAATATTGAATAGCTTAATGAGTAACTAAGGTGAAAGCTATAGTAATCATCACCCAGCTCTTGTATTTTTTTTTAGTTAGTTTTCTTAATTGATTTAAGAGTTGACTTTATCAATCAGCTGTTTTATCATTTCTGGATTTGGGGTTGTAAATGATATGATAAAAGAATTCTCCAGTATTTTCCTAAAGAACTTATGTGGTTTCAGTTGAGGTGTGGGGTGAATCCTCATCCAGCTTGTTTTTTCTACCATAGGTCTACATTACTGTATGTGGAACCACTGAGTTGAGATGCTCCCTTTTTTTTTCTTTCACATAATCCCAATGTATACCCATACCGTATTTTGGAGCTTCCATTGTTTCATTGATTTTACTGTCAGTTAATATACAGGTACCACACTGTTCTTTAACATATACTTTAATGGCAGTAGGTCATATCTGTGGTTGGATGGGGTGGGGGGGGATTGTTTTTTTTTGTTTTTGCCATATTGAGGTTGAGTTGTCAGTGAAAAGCCTAATGGAAGACCTCAAAAGTAAACTAGAGAAAAAAAATACATCCCTTCCCACATAGGTTGAATTTCAGAACAAAATCCTGCTACGAAGTGTCAACCAGTGAGATTTTGAAGCAAAATAAGTTAAAAGCAATACAGGGGCACCTGGGTGGCTCAGTGGGTTAAAGCCTCTGCCTTCAGCTCAGGTCATGATCTCGGGGTCTTGGGATCGAGCCCCGCATTGGACTCTCTGCTCAACAAGGAGCCTGCTTCCTCCCTCTCTGCCTGCCTCTCTGCCTACTTGTGATCTCTGTCAAATAAATAAATAAAAATCTTAAAAAAAATACATATTTGTTTTTCACATAAAAGATATTCATGTGGAATTCCGTCCCGGATGGGGTCCTTTGTTTTAGATGTCAGTTGATGTCAAAGGTCAAGCATCAGCCTTCATTTTACAGTTTGAAGTTGGGCTTTGGGTATGTCCGCGTGCCCAGCGCGACAGCAATACAAACAGAAAACCACAAACGCTGGGCTGTCTGTCCCGGCAGGCTCTAGACCTTTGGGAGATTTCCCGGGGTAGGAGTGCCCGCCCCCTCGAGAGGTCCGGATGTTCTAGCCGGTGCCAGTTTGGGGGAAGGGGATCCTTGAAGCTGGGACTCGCGCAGCCGCAGTCAGAATTTCTGGAGGCAGGGCGAGCCCGGCGGTTATGAAACCTTTAAATGGAGGGACAGGCTGAAGTAAGTGATGTCTACAGAAAGGAGAAGCCTTTTATTAGTGCTTCCCATATGGTCTAGCGGTTAGGATTCCTGGTTTTCACCCAGGCGGCCCGGGTTCGACTCCCGGTATGGGAAGGGGGTTGTTTCAATTTTTGTGGTGGCCAGAATTTTGTATTTTCATCTCAGGTCACATTGGGCGTTTCTTTCCATTTAAGCCTGAGAAATTGGGGCCCCGGGGAGCTCTGGGACCTATCATTCTGTGTTTTGAACGAAGTGTTAATTGTCATCACATCATTAACTATTTTTTCTATGGGTAATTTATTAACTGTATAAGATACCATATACATTATAGGCGCAAATACCATTATATTTATATATTAAAATACTCAAAATTTATTGTTAATCTTCATGGAGGGCGACCACTGCCTAGTCTTTCCACACACCTCTGGGTAGTGGAACCCTCCGGGAGGAAGGAAGAAATGAGTGGAGTCAAGACACTTGCAACTTTTGCTCCAGAGCCAGTCCAGAGGCTGGGCCGCAACAAGCGGAGCTGTCTCTGGAGGAGCATAGGATGAAGTGCCTGAATGGACAGGAGAGGGCCAGGTGGAAGAAGTCTCCGGCAATTAATTTTCTCTGGTCTTGCGGCTGCTTTGTTTGCCTTCTAGTCCAGTGGTTAGGGTTCTTATGCAAACCGTTTGCCTTCTACCGGTTCTACCGGTTCTAAGTAATTCTAAAAATTACTTAAATTTTTTTAAAGAATCTCTCTCCCCCCAACACTTGCACACTTCCAGTCAAAAGGAGAGCCAAACGTACACACATGAGTTACTAAGTGCCTTTGTCAGTTTCCCACCCCCTTCGGTCTGGTTCGCTTACTCAACCAAGGGAGGTTATGGGCAGGGCTGAGGTCCTGCCTTCAGAAGTGGACCTCTACACTTATTTACTCACTCATACATTTTTTTTGGGGGGGGGGGGATTATTTCTGTGATCCTATTAATTTAAAATGTGTAGGTTAAAATAGGATACATTGGAGCTGGGAAGTCATCACTGGTTCTCACAAGAAAACTGTCTAAAATTTAACAACTCTTCTTAGATCCATCAGAAAATTGAAGTCACGGGGCAAATTGCTGCCTTGAAAATTGGGGAGAAGAATGAATCATAGTATACCAGGCTCAGAAGCTGCTGCTGGAGCCAGTAACTGGTAAGAAAACTTAAAGGCTAATTGACCCTGATGAGAGAAAAACTCTCTAAAGGCCTGATATATAAGGGAAGCTTATTTTCTTTTATTTTGACATGTTTAATATTTATTGTTCTTTTGCAGAAAAAGAATCTAGGTAGTTGCTACCATGATGGCTTAATTTAGACAAAAATAACTAAGAGACATCAATTGATTACCATAGCAGTTTTAATGGCAACTCACTAAATTATTAACAGAACCATTTTCTAGAAAGTACTGATCTAGTCACATGAATCCAAAATAGGTGAAATACGAGAACAGTATAAACGTTTTGTATAATGCACTTTTAGTTCTTCGTGGTTTGGTATAAACAAATATAACTTGGCTCTGATGTAGACAATTATTGATATAATTTTCAAGTTTTTCGATGTGGGAAAGTCACTGTCATTGTGGCTCTCTCAACATTGAGCCCATGACACTCCCTGGGCAGGTTCAGACCCAACTCACACATTACAAACAGACTAGAAATAGCCAGTCAGATAAACGCCAGTTTTCCTCAAATGAAAACAACAACAACAAAAAAAATACAAACAAACAAACCCAAAAGATTTTGGCAGTTAGAACAGTTTCCAACTCCATTTGGGATCTAGGCATGGATCTAATGGCCATCAGCCTCAGAGTCAGAGCCCTCAGGAAAACTGGAAGTAATTCTTCAGAGATGCGAAAGTCAAAAGGTTTTCTACCTGAGCTGCACCATGGTCATCACAACCTCACCTCCTCACCTCTGCTCTTGACTCCTTACCCAGGACAGAGAGAAATAGGCAGATTCACCAGAGGAACTGGGACATTCTCATTTATAAACTGAGGAAATGAGACTCCAACCAGAGCATATACAGATTTTGTGAAAGAATAAAGCCATTGAGTATGACATTGGTTAAAGGCAAAAGAAGAGAAGATTTCTATCTGCAGTAACATCTTCGTTTAATTTTTCTCAAGGGGAAGCCATTTTAGATGTCTAAGTTAGCATGACTGTATAAACTTTTTTTCTAAACCAAAAGCCTGATTAATGGTCTACCAAGCCATAAAGGAAAACCATCTTATCCTTGAGGTGTAAATGAATATTCCTACTTCTTGCATTTCTTAACATGAAAACTTGTGATTTCTGCCTATATGTTAATCTGTAATCTTTTGACCTTTTACAAGATGTAAAAAAAAAAAAAAAAAATCTTTGACCCTGTATAAAGTATTCATTCTCTGGAGGACTGTATTTCCTGTGAAGAGTGTGTTTCCCAGACAGGTGTCCTAAGTTGGGATGGAATAAAACTTTCTTTTAGAGTGTCTAAAAGTTTTATTCATTTTGTATTGACAACCCTCACATTTTTGTGGGTTCTACCTCCAGAGGAACCCTACTAGCTTCTTAGGGTCAAGACTGGAGAAGAATCTCCTTTGCGTCTGGCAAGAGGAGGGAAAAGTACCACTTTGAAATATGCCAGAGCACCCATTTCTCCTTAACAAAGGCCTATTCTCAGAGAAACTATTTTACTAGACCCCACCCAACCTGAGGGAAGAGAAATACCCAGCCCTCTCTACCCTTCCTGTGTCACATAAAGGGAGAAAAAAAGCAGGGAAGAGCTTTTGAAGATTATAGCCTCAGGGCAGAAGTTCAGTAAAAGGCTATAGGATTATACAGTACTTCCCCTCCTCCCAAATATTATCACCACATCCGTAAGGTTCTTGTTATGATATATATAATATATAAAACAACTGAAAGAACTGCAGGACTCAGAATCTATGTAAGAAATCTGATGGGAGGGGTGCCTGGGTGGCTCAGTAGGTTAAAGCCTCTGCCTTCGGCTCAGGTCATGATCTCAAGGTCCTGGGATCGAGCCCCGCATCAGGCTCTCTGCTCAGCTGGGAGCCTGCTTCCTCCTCTCCCTCTGCCTGCTTCTCTGCCTACTTGTGATCTCTGTCTGTCAAATAAATAAATAAAATCTTAAAAAAAAAAAAAAGAAATCTGATGGGAAACCCAAATACAGCAGAGAAGACAAATAAGAACACTGGAGGAAATTTTAGTCTCTGATACCTATAGCCATAGCAAACAATAAACACAGAGTGATTCTTAGGAGGGTAAATATAAAATCTCACACTAAAACCCTGCATAACTTAGTTCCTTTTACCTGATACATCATGTCTACCTTTTTTTTTTAAAGATTTTATTTATTCAACAAAAAAGGGAGAGAGCAAGCATAAGCAGGGGGAGCAGCACAGGGAGATGGAGAAGCAGTCTTCCCACTGAGCAGGGAGCCTGATACAGGGCTCAATCCCAGGACCCTGGGATCATGACCTGAGTCAAAGGCAGATGGTTTCCTAGGATCATGACCTAAGCCAAAGGCAAATGCTTAACCAACTGAGCCACCCAGGCACCCGTCGTGTCTACCTTTCAATAAAAACTTAAAAGTTGGAGGGTAAAGCATGTCTATAGTTGAGAATCTCTATCAGCCCATGTCCTATTTGCAGGGTTTTGGAGTCCCACAGCCTCCCTTCATTTTCTTCTATCTCTGTTCCTTGGAGTTCAGGTTGCCAACAGTTTTCCTGGTATAACATTCTCAGAAACGTTGTAAACCTCCTGTGCAGTTCATGGGGTTTCAGTTCTCAGACAAGAGCGTCTTCTACAGATCTATCCTGAATAACCCCATCTCCATTCTTGTTTCTGCTGGGATGGCCAGTTGGATCCATGAGTTGGGACCAATCTCTTTAGTGAAAGATTGTCCAGCCACATCCTTGGCCCCTTTTTTCAGAGCACACTTCCCAACAGTGAATTTCTTAATATTTGAATCCTTTGTAATCTGGATAACTTGAGAATCACCCAAATCATCAAGAGCTGGCTCCTTTTTGCTTAATTGTCCTTTTCTTAATTTACTTCTTCCTTTTGCTTTTTACTGTAAGCATCAAGGATAATCAGTGCCTACAACACTTTGCTTAGAAATCCCTTCAGCTAAATATCTAAGCTCATTGCTTCTAAGTTCTACTTTTGTCAAACAGTAAAATACAATTCAGCCAAGTTCTCTACCACTTTAAAATAAGAATTGTTTTTCTTCTAGTGTCCAATAACATGTTTCTCACTTCCTTCTTAGTTCTTGCCAGAAGAATCTTTAACTTTCATATTTCTAC